CTTGAAAACCGCCAAGACACTGTCGTCCTTCAGAAAACAATTTCCATACTGAGTAGAGATTTGGACTGTGACTGTTCAATTTTGATCAGGACATGAAACGGTTCTCTTTCTCTAAACAAGAATTTTGAATCCTAGAAATACGCTGTTCTACGAATTGGAGACCCGAGTGAATTTTATAAAACTCTAAGGAGTTATATCCGACCAAAACTTTAAAGTTTTTACATGAATTCGAAATTCGTCTCCTCTGTAAGTCAATTATGAAATTCTCGATTGCACAGCCGAAGAACATTCCCCGAGACATGGTTACATCTTAAAAGTATCTCCCATTTCAAAACATACAGTAACATTTTAAAAGCGTCTTACCATTTGGCACCGCTTCGTTTCCGGTGAATCTAAAGAGCATCAGAAAAAGAACAAGATAGACAAACTTCATGGTGGCTTGTTACTCTTGTTTGTAACACCGAACTCAAGTTGTTCTAATGCATTCAAATTTTGCAACGTTTTGTTTTGAGATATATTTATAACTTCAAATAAACTTCGGCTTCTTTTAGCACGTTGTCATGAAAGGGGGCTTGGAAAATTCACAGCTTTAAAAGCCGCTATTAACCACAGCGGCTTTAAATCGAAAAGTTTAATTTCCTTTCTTCCATTCTAAAAGCGCGAAGGAAAGAAACTTATTAACACTTTTGGAACAGAACTCCAATTATTCTTAACCCAAGCGGTAAACTTTAGTATTGCGATGTATTTCCGTTTGAGTACCATTGAAACGTTTTGTTACCTTTGGGTATCTTCTTCAGTAGTAGTTGAAAGTACATTGATTTTCATGGCATTTCGTTTTAAGAACGCATAAAATCATGCTTGGGTATAGGAGTGCCGCCGAGGGTTTGTAATTGCTTTTCAAATTTTTCAAATTTGTAACGTTCATCAGGACACTCAAATTTGTATACTGCCATGCTACCTCTTTCGCGATGTTGATGTCGCCCTTGTTGGGCTTGTAACTTTGGCACTGAAATTTCTTTTAAAGCTAGTCATTATTTTGGTTGTGGTGTTGTGTATGGTATCGTCAGCCGGTTTCTTCTGTCTGTTACAAATTGTTAAAAAGCAAAATTCAGCTGCGGTTGATTTTGTTTGTGTTTCCTCAAAATTTAAAATTAAATCAATCGTTTCAGGAGCCCATCACCTGGAGCCTTCATCTTCCATACAAACCCAATGAGACAACCTGGCTCCTGATCGTTTTAAGAAACCTTTTCCGAGATGCGATGCTTTATCTCGCTTCAACACTTCTGAGATAATGCATTTAATGGAAGCTGATAGTGCGGTTTGATCCTTTAAGTGAAAAGTTGAACTGGAATTGAAGGAGATGGCATGGCGAGCTTTGTTTATTATTTTGCCCAAAATGAGGCTATTACAATGTCGAACAATTTACGAACTTCCCAGTTAACTTATTTTTGGAAAGAGCAAAGCGGTTAC